CCAGAGGAAGTTTATTGCTGTCAGAACTTACTAAAGAGTCTTACAAAGAGTTATTTTATTAGATGAACATTGACTTTTCATTCCAGATAGCTAAACATATTTCTTCTTCTGTGTTAAAAGTCTAGGGTGTCACTTCTCCTGAATCAGGGACACTGTCAACTAATAGGGATCCATGTAGCTTTATGGGAGTGAGGGATAATGGCTTATGGTGAGTGACTCATGCAGCTGTGACTTCAGATCCTGGGGATAGCATCTGCTCATGACTTATCCTAGAGAAACTATCATGTCTCTCTGAGCTTCCTTTTACCCATGGTAAAGTGAATATGGATTAAACTCTGCTGATATTTCATCAGGACAGCAGATTCAGCATGTAAATAACCTTCCCACATTGCCTAGATAATCACTAATTTGTGGGGACTTTCCACTTCTGAAACTATGAACATTAGTATGACCGTCTTTCAAGTTAAAAAACAAGCAAATAGCAAACAAAAACAATAAAATCAAAAGCAAAACAATTACTATACAATCCATTTAGATTATGTGGGTATGTAATGGAATGTCACAGATGGCATGCAGATCCGTAATTATTACAGCATTAGTCAAAATAGTTAAATTATAGGATCAGCTTAGATGTTTATCAGCAGATAACTAGACAAAGAAAATATTTGAATTTTTATTCTAAGGAGAGTGATATTAATGTCACTTACATGGAAATGAATGGGCCAGTATATTATCAATTTAAACAAAACAGTTGAACCCAGCAAGAGAAACGTTACATTTTCTATCATATACACACCATATATGTATATATCTATCTATATTTATATGACATGGAAGTGGAGGGTTTACTATGTGTTAGTGAGGAAGGGAAAGGAGGGCATTGATGGTACCAAATGACCCACATAAATGATGCATCTGTGTAGAAATTCAGAAGGAAACTCATTGTTTTGCTATTACCTAAACCTTCAAGGTATATAAAAAGAGCAGGCTTTCCCAAGAAGAAATATTCAGGTAAAAATCCAGTGGGAGGTTTCTTCCAGACATTAAAACATAACCAGTCTGTTGTGGAAGAAGTAATTAAAGGGCATCTCCAATGAACTGTAACCTGCATTGAATTTGCATTTAATATGAGGAATGTTTTGTGCCAGGTCTTGTGTAGGTCACTTTAATTTGAGAATCTATACAACATAAACAATAAATGTAAAATTTAAGAAAAAGCACGTGTGCATGCAGGAGAGAGAGATATATGGAAAGAACAGTACTTTATCAATGAGAACAATGACGTCATTGGTTGAAGGCACTATCCTATACAGAGCATGGGGCAGCATTTTGGAGAAGGTACTGTTGTCTGGAATAAGTGGATGGTGATACTGTGGAGCAGATTTCTGAGTGACTTCTAGAGGGAATAGGATAGGATATGCTTAAAGGAAAAATGCCACCTGCTAATATCCAAAATGGTGGGAGAGGTAAGGAGTTTGAAACAAATTGTAGGCAGGATGTTTGTGGATAGTGACACATGAGTGACACAATGAGAAGAAAAATAAAATTGATTCCAGTATAAAAAAGGGGGGGATGTGTATGTGAGCCAGAGAGACAAAAGGCATTCCTCATGACCTATAAATATTTACTTTAACGTCACAATCATTTGGGACATTTCCTTCTCATCATTAAGCAGGGGCAGAAGCCGAAAATGAAATTGATTTAGTCAAGCACAGTAAGTACAGACATGTGTCTTATGTGTGTACTTTTATCTCATTGTCCTTGGCAGGATTCATTCAATTCAAAGTCAAGCGACAGTGATGTGTGATATTCTCTCTTTGCCCAATCCTTAACTGGGCTGTTCCTGTTTCCCAAGTCCTTCCCAGTGAACCTATTTTTTTTCAGCTAAATAAGACCCCTTAAAAGGGTACTTGTTCATATATAAAATTCTCCACATGAGACACAGGTGTCTAAAAAGGAGAGGCCATCTTCTCTTTAACTTGAATGATTTCTCAGGACATTTAATGCATGTTTTTATGTGAGAAACCAAATATCAAAGATTCAAACCAGAAAGACTCATTTGAAAATTCATAAAGTCAAATACTCAGCATAACTATACTGTTGATATTTCTCCCTTTCCAAAGGTGGCTCTGTTCAAACTTTCAACAGTTCAGGGTCTGGAGGATGCCAGCATCCTTCAACATCCCACTCTATGAAACAAATATTTATGGATCACTTACTAGTCCAAAGCACCGCACTGTTTACATTGTTTCTGGGTTGTGTTTTGCAAAACACATTGCATGGCTTTGTGTTTTGGGAGATAAATAAAATATTTGATGAGGAACAATCATTTTTATATGATCATTGTCCCCTGTAAGACATAGATTTAGGGGCTAGAGAGATGGCTCAGGGGTTAAGAGCATTGCCTGCTTTTCCAAAGGTCCCGAGTTCAATTCCCAGCAACCACATGGTGGCTCACAACTATCTATAATGGGGTCTGGTGCCCTCTTCTGGCCTGCAGGCATACACACAGACAGAATATTGTATGCATAATAAATAAATAAATAAGAAAGACAGATTTACATTTTTGGTACTTTACAGTCATAGACATCTTTAATAGGAGAAAATAATATTGTGTATGAGACATTTTGTCTGAGAATCCCACATCACATGTGGTGTCAAAAACATATACTTACAAAAGAATGCATTATCCTACTTAAATGATATCTTCAGGTTTTCTGATTATAGGTTACAGAAATGTATCTACTTCACAGTATTTGGGATCAGGATAATTCTCATTTTATTACTGCACCTTGTTCTTGTGGTCCTGGAAGCCTGGCCCACACTCACCGACCAGGCATCCTCAGTCTTCCTCACACATGCCTTAGCAGACAAACTTCTTCCTTAGAGAAATAAAGAGTTCCCAAACCAGGCTATGGGTGCTCACACAGACCGGATATTTAAGGAGAGACATCTGGACATTGGAATCTTGCATGACATTAAGATGTCTGTTGTTGAAGCCACAGAGACCTTTCCTTCATGGTTCATCTTTGTGTTTCTATCAATACCAGTGTTTGTGTTTCTTAGCTATGGTGTTCTTTAGACCACCGATACCATATCCAACATTGGTCCCTCCTTCGCATAGAAAAGCACAGGTATCCACCATTCACTAAGTAGTTTACCCCAAGCCAGTCCATCTGAATTCCACAGGAATAACCTCTGTATCTTTTATGGCCTCTTTTAACTCAGAGATCCAGCCTGATAACTACACACATGTCCCAAAGACTATTCCTGCTGTATTATATTACAGCTGATTTACTGTCCCATTTCTGTGAATTCACATAGACACCAGGGGTTGGGATAAATCTGAAAGAATATGAAAATCCTCACTGAAAGAAGCATTAGCCTTTCCCTTCTGACAAGAAGTTGGAGAGAGAGTGCATTTAGTCTCAATGTTAGGTCCATGGCACAAGAAACGTCTCCCACCTCAATGCACGCATGGTACTTTAGGTTTCAGCTAACTCACTTGTGAGACTTGACTCTTTTTAAGCTTCAGAGAAGTCTGAATAGAGACACCTGCAGTACAGTATGAACCTGCATGGGACAGGGGCAAGTCAGGTGTGGATAAGTGATTCTGGGAAGACCCAGGAGTGAGCCGGAGCTTTCTTTGAAAGGGTAGACATTTTCTGACTCCAAGGGTTATGACAGGCTTTTTTGTCTATTTGCTTGCTTGCTTTGACTATGTGGCCTAGGGTGGCTTTGAATTTAGGACAATTGTACTGTTTCACTCTCTGAAGTGCTAGGTGTCAGACAATGGTCACCTCACTGAGCTCCAGTAGGACTCTGGACAGAGAGATATGGTAATGCTTCAGAAACCCCAGGAAGTTTAAAACAGGAAGTGAGAAACCCCTCATAGATTACTTGGAAGGAACAGGAAAGGGAGGGTCTGAGAGACTGGACTTCAGCTGACAGATGCAAAAAGTCTAGCTGGCTACCTTTTTGGAGTGTTCTTATACCTTTTTCTGCAAGGTTTGTTGACCATTGGGGCATCTGTGAGGACTCTGAGTCAAACCACCTGAGCTATCTTCCTGGCTACACTGTTGGCTGATGGTGTATGCTGACCATATACAAGCTCTATCCACCCTTCTAAATCCCCCAAGACCCCTGTATCGCACCCCCAATTTCCTTCTTTCCTTTTCCATCCCGTCCCTTCCTTGCTTCCTTCATTCCTCCCTCCCTTCCTACCTTCCTCCCTCCCTTCATCCCTCCCTCCCTCTCTCCCTCCCTCCCTCCCTTTTTCCCCTCCGTTCATTTCTTCCTTCTGAGTCTAGTTAGTGCTGAGCTTAAGCACAGGGGCACGTGGCCATCCCCTGAACCTAGGTAATCTACTAAGGCCCATATCCCTAAAGAAAAGTAACTTTTATTTCTCCAGCAACCATCACCTGCCAATAGTTCTTCAAATTAATTTTTTGTTAATGTTTGGGGAGGTGGGCATATTTCTTCCATGGTCCTTGCGTGACACAGATTGCATATGTGGAAATCAGAGAGCTACTTTGTGGACTAAATTCTCCTTTTTTACTTTTATGTGTATTCTGGGCATCAAATTGAGGCCAAGAGGTCAACCTCCTGAGTCAGTGTGCCAGCCCAGAACACTTTTGAATGAAAAACAATATTTCATTGAAGAAATCATGACGAATTCAAAACGTCTTAGAAACAAATGTAGATCACTACCCTGTTCGTCAGAGCCTCTGGGATATGCCCAACATAGTCTAAGGAGGAAGTTATAGCTATAAGTGCGCACAGAAAAATCTCCACAGGGTCTCAAATAAATAATTTATTATACAGCTTAAAGCTCAAGAAAATAAGAAGCCAAATCCAGTACAAAGCAAAAAATAATAAATGTTGAGGTGGATAGTAAGAAAATAGAGAATAGGGGCGCCCAGGAATTCCCTCCTCCTCAAGTAACGCGTCTTGGCCAGCTGTGCCTTGTCGCTGCCTCCTGGCGCCCCTCTTGTAGGAGACGGAGCACGGAGAGAGGGCCCCGCGGGCGTACGCCTCCGCCGGCCACCGTCTCCCCACAGTGACCCGTGCGAGTGCGGCCGGACGGCAGGTTTGATAATGGGCTGCATTAAAAGTAAAGAAAGCAAAAGCCCAGCCATTAAATATACACTGGAAAACCCTCTAGAGCCTGTAAGCACAAGTGCCAGTCATTATGGAACGGAACACACTACAGTTACCCCAACCTCTTCCACAAAGGGAACATCTGTCAATTTTAACAGTCTTTCCATGACACCATTTGGAGGGTCCTCTGGAGTGACTCCTTTTGGAGGAGCATCTTCCTCATTCTCAGTGGTGCCAAGTTCATATCCTCCAGGTTTAACAAGTGATGTCACTATATTTGTGGCCTTGCATGATTATGAAGCTAGAACTACAGAAGACCTTTCCTTTAAGAAGGGTGAAAGATTTCAAATAATTAACAATACGGAAGGAGACTGATGGGAAGCAAGATCAATTGCTACCGGAAAAAATGGTTATATCCCTAGCAATTATGCCACACCTGCAGATTCCATTCAGGCAGAAGAATGGTATTTTGGAAAAATGGGGAGAAAAGATGTTGAAAGATTACTTCTGAATCCTGGGAATCAGCGAGGTATATTCTTAGTCAGAGAAAGTGAAACCACTAAAGGTGCTTATTCCCTCTCTATTCGTGACTGGAATGAGGTAAGGGGTGACAATGTGAAGCATTACAAAATCAGGAAACTTGACAACGGTGGATACTGCATCACTACCAGAGCTCAGTTTGATACTTTGTAGAAACTGGTGAAGCACTACACAGAACATGCTGATGGTTTATGCCACAAGTTAACAACTGTGTGTCCAACTGTGAAACCCCAGACTCAAGGTCTAGCAAAAGATGCTTGGGAAATCCCTCGAGAATCTTTGCAACTGGAGGTTAAACTGGGTCAAGGATGCTTTGGTGAAGTGTAGATGGGAACATGGAACAGAGCCACAAAGGTAGCAATCAAAACCCTGAAGCCAGGTACAACGATGCCAGAAGCTTTCCTTCAAGAAGCTCAGATAATGAAAAAATTAAGACATGATAAACTTGTTCCATTGTATGCAGTTGTTTCTGAAGAGCCAATTTATATTGTCACAGAGTTTATGGCAAAAGAGAGCTTGTTAGATTTCCTTAAAGAAGGAGATGGAAAATATTTGAAACTTCCACAGCTGGTTGATATGGCTGCTCAGATTGTTGATGGTATGGCGTATATTGAAAGAATGAATTATATTCACCGAGATCTCCAAGCTGCTAATATTCTTGTAGGAGAAAATCTTGTATGCAAAATAGCAGATTTTGGCTTAGCAAGATTAATTGAAGACAATGAGTACACAGCAAGACAAGGTGCAAAATTTCCAATCAAATGGACAGCGTCTGAGGCTGCATTGTATGGTCGGTTTACTATAAAGTCAGATGTGTGGTCATTTGGAATTCTACAGACAGAATTGGTAACAAAGGGGAGAGTACCGTATCCAGGTATGGTAAACTGTGAAGTGCTGGAACAAGTAGAGCGAGGGTACAGGATGCCTTGCCCTCAGGGCTGTCCAGGATCCCTCCATGACTTGATGAATCTTTGTTGGAAGAAGGACCCTGATGAGAGACCAACATTTGAATATATTCAGTCCTTCTTGGAAGACTACTTCACTGCTCCAGAGCCACAGTACCAACCAGGAGAAAATTTATAATCCAAGTAGCCTGTGTGTGCAGATCTGCCAAAACATAAAGACCTTGTGGGAGTTTGTCATGCACGGGAATGAGAAGATATTCTTCACTCTTCATGTTTCTATGGTAAGCTGGAATTCCAGATATGGTTGCACAAAACAGTTTTTCCCACCAAGTGTTAAACTCTAAAGTACCAATGATACATCTTATAACTTACTTCATGGTCCAAAGAGCATCAAGCTAAGATATTGTTGATAGCATGGTAAGAAAGAGCAACAAGACTACTGTTTACTAGTCACTTCCTTTCCTTCCCAAAACTCAGAGAAAACTATTTATTGATATGGACAAAATTTGAGCTATTATACCATAGTAAAATTTAAAATCAAAGAACTCTATGGGACCAAATAATTTCACTCCAGTTTTTAAAAAAAACTCTTGCATTTTTTTTTCAAAAGTTAGGTTTTTGTTTCATTTTGTTTTTCTATTTGACAGTTGCCATGCAGTCTTAACACAGACCTCCTTTTGTGTGGAATGGGCCAAGTCTTCCAAAAGCAAAAAGGAGATTATAAACAACATCAAACACTTGATTTAATGTTAGACCACAGAAATGGAATTTGGAAGCATAATACCCTATGTTCACACTTAGTTCATAGAACTGGAAAGTAGAGAGACAGCTTTTTTACTTTTGTCATTTTGAATTGTTCATAATGAAAGTAGCCAGAATGTGAGCTTATCATTTGCAAGGTTGTACTGATTGTCTTAAGGCAATGTACAATTGAAATTATATCCAGTTCCAGTGAAAATCTTAGTATTTGCATAGCATAAAAATAAAAGTCCAGCATTTAAGCAGTCCATTTTAAAAAATAGATGGAGTACTGTGAGGTGTTGTTAAGTGTGTTTTTATGGTGATGGACTCCACACATAGGAAACATCACTAGACCAGGGACTTGAATGCACTTTGTTTGTATTGAGTATAGAATAAGAGACAGGATAATTTATTTAAATAAATATGAGAGAAGAAAATGTGAAAATTTTACAGATACTGGGATGGGATGGAGTGTTTAATGTTGGTGTTATGGAGTGACATCATGGCTTTGATGGCACTCAGAGCACCTCATTAGCTGTTTCTGAGACTTTAAAGGTTATGAAGTATGATTGTAAAACTAATTTTTCTTAACATATACACTAAATAAGTTTTACATCCTCAAAATAGTGAAGATAAGGCTTAACACTAATATCAGTGGCCCTATTTTATACAGAACCTTTTTAGAACTGCAATTTTCAAATTTCTGAAACTTCATATACATTTCAAATATACTTGATGGTTATAGTTTCCTTTCATAATATAATCAATTTGAGGAAGAATACATACTCTGAGTAATAGTAATTTAAAGGGGGAATTTTTTCCAGTTTAAAACTTTAAAAATGAGTTTTTCTAACTCACATTATGAAGTATTAATTTGAATCGAGTAGTGCTAAAGGTTTAAGGGTCTAGCAAGGAAAAAGCTGAGTCTGCTAAATAAATTAAAAGTCTAATATTTATGTTTTTTAAATGCTGTGTTTTATAGTTACACTTTAAAGCATTGTATCAAGTTCTTCTATTTTCAGCATATAATTTTAAATGTCCATCATTTTAATCACTAAATTTAAAGTTCTGTGCCATGGTAAATTATGTTCAAATTTAACTCTTTTTAAATGTGACAAGTGAACTTTAAACAAGTTGGCAAAAGTTCTGGTACTAAAAGTTCTACTTTTTTTCCACTTAACCTATTCAAAGGATCTCCTGAGAAGAGTGTCGTCCTTATTTACCCTGATGTCTATAGTTTGTGTCATGAATGTTTTAAAGGGCTTCATGTGATCTGTGGTATTATAGTTTTTCTAAGCAGTCTTCAAAGGGTAATTATGTTTATATACTAATTCTGGTCAGAAAAATAAGGCAGGAAATGTTGATGGCATTCTTTAGGTTTTAAACTAATTGAATGGGGCAGTTCTTATAATAACACTTGTAAGAATACAACACTAACTTAATGTGTATTCAGTTTAAATTGTTATGTATTTTTAAATTGTCAAGAAAATAAACAGTTTTGTACATTTGAAGATTTTTTTCCCCAACAGCTTTCATCTTTTTTATCTAAACTTTGAACTTTAACCCTTACCAAAAAAGAAAAGTTGGCAAAACCAGCGTTCTAGCACAAACAATTTTTTAAAATAAATAATGGCAACCTAAGACTTAATATTTTTATAAAAAAAGAAAATAGAGAATAAAAGAATATGTAGAATAATCAAAGAATTGACCGAGAAACTAAGCAAAATTGATAAACCCCAGTTAAAGTAAAGAAAGAAGAGAGATTATCCAAATTAATAAAATTAGACATGAAAAGGGGGAAACATAACAAAATGCATTCTCTGCAGCCAGTATTAGCCAAATACCAAACCTGAATAAATGCATAACAGCAGTGGTGTCAGTAAATAAGAACAAATAGGCCTAAACCAACCTCAGTGCAACCCACTGGCTATATGTTAAAATAAAAATTAGTTTAAACTGAAAGTAATTCTTGTCACAAATGAGTTGTAAGTGCAGAGAGGAAGGACAGCTGGGGCAGGATGTGACTGAATAAACGAGCTGCAGGTACGAAGGAGGCTGAAGTAGGCGATTGTGTGTTTCAGGTCTTACTGTGCTGCACACAAAGACTGTCTCCAGCCCCAGTGCATTTGGAAGGGGAAAGTGGGAGGGGTGAATGGAAGGCTTTGGAAAGAGCAGAGGGAGGAAGAAATTATTTATGTTTTAATTAAAATTAGAAAATAAATTCTTTTTATTTTGTAATATAATGAAAATAAGATTATCTCATACAAAAGCTGAGGGTTTTGATTATATGTTTAAAATTTGGAAGAGTAAAATTTTACACTTGGACATGATGGATTAGGAGAATGGAGGTGAAGTTGGAGGACAGAAAGAGTCGTGGCAGGCAAAGGAGTGAAGGTAAAAGGACTAGACGTGAAGCTGAGCCCTACACGCTGGAGGACGAATGTGCTCCTGCTGCTTCGGTCACCTAACTAAACTGAGGACTCGATGCCTGAGAGAAAGATCCCTATCCGCACTATGCACCAGCCGCCACCTTGTCTGCACTTGAGATTGTTTCTCTGACACAAGTTGTTCTTTAACTGAAACTAATGATGCTTGAGGAACGTAGGTAGGAAGTTTAGCAGACTTCTACACTATACAACAACTATACTATACTATACAATACTACACAACAATATATCTCCAGATATGTCTACAGGGCTTGGGGAGATGTGGGGAGTAAATCTCTCCTAGCTGGGATTCTCTGCTCTGCAGGAGGAAACCTCAACATCAGAGGCCTTGTCTCCCTCTCTTTGAATGACTGAAATAACAACTTCACACCTATGGTCCTCTTACGGCTCACAGAAAAATGTCGTCATTACAATGGAAGAGCAGTCCCAACTAACCTGGATAATATGTCAGTGTAGGCAGCCAAGAAATCAAATAAACTATTACTTTGTGAGGAGATTAAAGGTTTAACCACACACGCTTGGCCCAGGAAAGTTGGGCAAAGTTCAGTTTCAGTGGAGGTTCCATGGGTAAGAAGTGAGTCTGGCACTTGGCCCTGGCTGTGCTTCAAAATCAGGCTTCTGAACTTAGATGATATTTTTTTGGATACAGGTTAGAGAATATTATGTAAATGATATCTCTATTCTGTTGCTGACTGCAAAGTCCTTATCTAACACAGTAAAGGGTGCTGTGAGTGCCCAGGAAGTCATGCAACGTGTGGCTTTAGAGTGAGATCTGACATCTTCCTTATCTAAAGTTTAATGTTTTGATGAAAATCCATTCTCTTAGTGAATATAGTGTTAAACTGAGACTTATTATTTGTGTAAAACAGAGAGGTCATGAGAGGCAGTTGCACTGTTCTTAATAGGCACTCACTGTAATTCTTGTATGAAGAAAACTGAATAGACTGTGCCCTCGAATATCACAAGGAGGGAGGATGGGAATTAAAGCCTTGGGAAATTCAGGATTTGGTGACATTCCCTCATCTCCTAAACCCAGCCTAAAGCACATGCACTCTATGCCCACATCTTACTATAGAGGCTAATACCTACAGTCCCGGAACATGGTGGGCTGATGAGGAGGATTAAAGGCTGCATGAGTTTGCAACTAGTGTGGACTACATTTAAATTTAGGTTTGGGCTATTCTGCATTAGAAAACAAGACAAACTCTAGAAAACAATAAAAGCAAAGTCCTCCACTGATCTTCTGATTCACAAGGATTTCTTCCCTTTAAAGTTTCCTCCTGAACTACATTTTAGAACAGTTTATCTATATTTATTACAGTGTAATAGCCTCAGAATTTTATTCTACTGTGTATGTCCCTTTAGCCTTCTCAGAAACATAAAGGGACACAAACCTTTCCCATAGATGAGTCATGTGACTCACTATAGACTCTCCACTGAGGCCATGGCCTCTCTCTTATCCAACCTTATTTCAGACTGTTCCAGATAAAATCTCTCTCAGAGAGATCACAGTTGCCAATTTCACTCTGTTTTCAACCCCTGTGTGCACACATGTCAAGGATCATGTCAGTTACACACAAGACCAATGAGCAGTTATAGATGGGGCAAGGTATGTTGCTTTCTCAAGTCAGTGTTTTGAGAGAGGCATGACTAACCTGGAGGTTCCTCTGATGCTGTTGGGAAGGGCCAGACTGGGGATGGTGTCTTTGGGAGAGCTGAGGACCATGTTCTTCTCTTGGAAGGGCTATGAGGAAGTTTTGATACTGGGATTGGTAGAAGTGATTGAAAGATGAGCAACACAGTAGATCAAGAGAAGCACCTAGCAAAGGAAAAAAACCTGGGACATGAGATACAGACATCTACCAAAGATGTGTCTGTGTGTGGAGGCCTCTTCTTAGAAATCCTTTTTTTTTTTGAGCCAACTCAATTTCTCTCCATTTCTGAACTTTTGGGGACTTTTCAGAGAAAGTGGCTCACCTCTGAAGGCATGTATTTGGTTGACCTCCTCTAAGTATTTATTATGT